CTGTCCCCTCTACTTCTGTGTGTATTTGAGAGGTCCCAGAATGAGAAGTTTAAAGGGCGGGGGGTGGGAAATAGGCGGGTGTACTGTGTTCTTTTAACTCCCACACTCAGTCTCCTGAAGCTGGGACCCAAGCTCCCCCCTCCGGGGAAGAGACCCAGGAGGCCAAGGTCACCACAGACCTCCCTCCCTTCCTGTGGCTAAGACCAAATGGCCAGTCTCCTGCCACACAGCCTCCACAGCGAGCCCTGGGGATTTCTCCTGAAACCCTCTTTTTTTGATGCCTTTGGAACCAGCCTGTCCCCGACTCTCTTTCTCTACCCTTTCATTGGGCCCTCTGCCTCTACTAGGCCTTTAAATGCCTCTCTTTTGCGGTCCAGGCCTCATTTTGTCTTTTCTCATTCTCTACGCTCTCATCTGCTGCCCTGACTGCAGCTGCCCCCCGGGTCTGTGTCTCCGGCCCAGACCACAGGCCCGAGCTCACAGACCAAGTGTCCACGTGCTTGGTGGGCCCTGCCATCAGGTGGCCCTCGGGCACCTGCCACGTACTGTCCAGCCTGGCACTCGTGAGCTTCCTTCACCAAATCCCCCCCTCCTCCCGGCCCCGTTGGAAGGGCACTGAGTTGGCCCCGCAGGGACCCGTGAGTTATTCTGGGTTCTCCCTCTCATCTGCCACATCCACCCTTCCAGTCCCTCTTTCCCCTGTGTCTCCTCTACCCTCTTGTCACAGATGCTAACTTAGCCTGCTTCGGACTCATCGTCTCACCTGGACATTGAGCAGCAACCCCCCCGTGGGCGCCTCCCTTGACCCACATTATCTTACCCAAAGAAACTTTTTAAAACACGTATATACGGGGTCCCATGCCATATCCCAAGGCTCAGAGGGCCAGGCGGCTGCCAGGGCACAGATAGAACCTCGCCGCAGTCCCGCCTCGGCCCCTCGCCCAGCGCCTCAGCGTCTGCATAGGACCACAGTTCTTCCGAACACTCTGTGGACTCTCTTAGCTCCGTGCCTTTGCTCATGCTCACTGAACCTTCTGTGAACTGTCCACTGCCCTTCTCACCCTGCTGAGGTCCTTATGATACTTAAAGATGCACCTCCAATCTCACTGGGCACCTGTATCCTTAGACAGTGGGCTTCCCAGGCTGAACCTTGTCTGTGTTTGCCTGGCACGTAATAGTGGCTCAGAAGGCATCTGTGGAAGGGGAGGGAATATTTTTTTTTAAATATAAGTCTTTAATCGTATCTAATTTAGTGAGAATATAAAGCCTACTGGCAGCTTAGTCCGATGGTTGTTTTAAAAAAATTACGACAAACAGTGGCTCAAAGCAACACGGATTTATTCTCCTACAGTTCTGCAGATCAGAAATCTAAAATGAGTGTCCCACGTGTAATCACGGCATTGGCAGGGCTAAAGACTCCCGAGAAAAGCCATTTCCTTGCCTTTTCCAGCTTTCAGAGGCTGCCTGCTTTCCTTGGCTGGTGGCCCCTACTCCCATTTTGTCCCTTAGAAGCCAAGTCCTTCTTTCCCTTGTAATTGTGTTGGGCCCAGCCAGAGAATTCAGGATAACAGCCCCATCTCAAGGTCTTTAATGTAATCACCTTTTGCCATGTGAGGTGACCCATTCACAGATTCTGGGAATTAGGCTGTGAACATCTTAGAAGGGTCCTCATTTTGTCTCCTAGAGCAGCCTTTTTCAGAAATGAGGTGCCGAGCTTTTGAAACCACCAGTTAAGCAATGTTTGGGTTTCATTCTGAGTAAGGATGAAATTAGACCAGCCATGCATTTCATTGCACACAAAGGAAGTTGTTCAACTTGCCTCTGTCCCAGGTCTGAAAGAAAGGACTCGCTGCCTCTTCCAGATTCCCATGTGGGGTGTTTAGCATGGCTCGGGACAGGTCATGGGGGAATCACATAAGAGAGACGTGCCAGTCGCTTGACCTCCACAATGAGGCAAGAACTCCTGTTTTTTCCTGGGAAGCCGATGAAAGCCCTGGAGGGCTAGTTGCAGGACTCATTTGCTGTCAGGAACTGACAGATTCCTACCTCCCTGATCTATGAGCCTGGTACCTGAGCGGCGACAGGAAAAGACAAAGTTGTAAAAAAGAATTTTCAGAATCCCCCAGACAAAGCCTGCGGCCGCTGATCTCCTCCTTTGGGAAGATGTGGGTTCCAGATGGTTGCCTTAGGCATTAATCGCTTTCCCTGGAGCCAGAAGAAAATGAAGATTAATAATAATAATTTTTTTTAAAAAAATTACTCCTCAGGGGCCGCATATGAAAGAACAGAGGGCACAGAGCTGCAGTTTGATAACAGTGATCCATGGCTTCTAGATCAGGGCTGGTTCCATCTCCCGGATGGTAACCTTGCAGTTGCTACCCTTGCAGCCTGGCCGGCGGTCCCGAAGAGCAGGCTCAGTCTTGGAAGCTTACCTCATCGAATGTCAGAGCTGGACAGGAACCTTGGGAAATCATGTTTCTCAACTCTCTCACTTGGAGATGAGGTTAGACTCCATTGCCCAAGGTCGTGTAGCTCAATGGACTCAGGAATGAGATAAGTACAAAAAGGAGGGTGTGACAAGCTCTTACTTATCCTTTGTGCTGCAGAATTAAATACTGTGTTTAGACACAAGCAAGGTCCTGGGGCCCAGAGGGCCAAGCAGGCTTTTGAGCTGGATGGACCATACAGAGTGGATGGGGCAGGGTCCGTCATATAGTCTGGGGAGACCAGGGAGGGGTCACAAAGCGAGGGGAGATACCATGAGTGGAGACCTGCCTTTCCAGAACAGAGGGGAGAGCTCCGTGGTTGGAATAAGGGTGCTGGAAGAGTAGGTGGGACAAATTCTGGAACTCTAGAAATCCAGACAGGTTTTGGACTTCGTGTGGGTGATCATAGACCCAAAGAGATTTGGCCTCAGAGAAATGGCAGCTGAACATAGAATTTTGAAGGAAGATGGTTGTGTGTGGTGAGACACCACATATATTCTTTTAGGATCCATCTAGGAAAGAAGAACCCAGAGAGTTGGGGGCCAGAAACAGGGCTTTCCTTGAGCGTGGTCTCCAGAAGGGAGGCCTTCCCTCATCTCCTTTTTAAATAATATGTTTTCTTTCTTTTTTTTAAGATTTTATTTATTTATTTGAGAGAGAGAGAGCACATGAGAGGGGATAGGGTCAGAGGGAGAAGCAGACTCCCCGCTGAGCAGGGAGCCCGATGCGGGACTCAATCCTGGGACTCCAGGATCATGACCCGAGCCAAAGGCAGTCGCTTAACCAACTGAGCCACCCAGGCGCCCTAAATATATATGTTTTCTTGATGGTGGTTGAGACTAGAATGGGAAGGCCTTAGGAACACAGTGTAGAACAAGACTATGCTCACCACTGAGTCTGGGCCCAGCTCCTCGCCCAGACCCACCCCCCTCAGCCCACAGTCCTGAAGCCTGTTGGCACCTCTGACCAAGAGCCAGCTTACCCACAGGAAATTGGGATGCAGCCCCGATTCCTAAAGGAGGAAGGAGCACTCGGTCAGTACTTGTATGGCCAGGCCTGGACTGGGTATTGGGGGTAACTAAGGTCCAGATCATCTTCACAGAGCTTTAAGGCGTCGGGAATACAAACTCATAAACATACTGACGTACCCGGTGGGAAGGGCAGTGTGTCCGGGTTGCCATGGCAGCGCTGGGAAGGATGCCCGCCCAGCTCTGAGTCCCGCACAGCGACAAGGGCGAAGAGACAGTGCGAGCACACGTAGGGAGGACGCCTGAGAGGTGGTAGGGCTGCAAGGGAGGATGAGTTCAGGACGTTTTCAGGAGGTAAAACAGGCCAAACGTGGGGATTTGGAGGGGGGCGTGGGGGAGGCTGGAAGGCCTCTGGGTTCTAGCCTGGAGGACACCAACCGAGATAGAGGATGAGGAAGGAGAGGGTTGGCGGGGAGCAGGTATTGAAGCAGGTGTGGACAGGCTGAGGCTGAAGTGCCCTGACCTGCAGCCGGGCTTGGGGAGCCCCACTGCGTGTGGCACGCGATATGGGGCAGGCTGACCGCCTCCGTCTTCACGATGGCAAGGTCCCTGTGCCTCCCCAAAGAAGCCAAGGATACCTTGAGGAAAGTGGTTATCATTGTCTGAACAGACCGCCAGCTCTTTCGTTAAGAGGAATCCTTAAAAGCCCATTCATCTGCGGTGATGTTTACAGACAGTGTCCTGGCTTAAGCAACATCTACAAAGAAATCTTTATGATCCACATGGGTAGACCCGGGCATGTATTCTTCTTAAACACTTTGATCTTTAAACCCCTGTCCTCCGATAATACAGTGAGAACTTGCGTCGTATGGCCCGGTCCTTTTGAAGCCGGGTACCGTCCCAGCCGTTATCCCTGTCTTCGGTCAAACGGATGCTCAAGTCCAACGCCAGCCACTCGCTCCCCGAGGCGTGTGAGCTCCCAGCAGAGGGGGAGCTGCCACTGTCCCCCTGAGCTCTGGAGCGGAGCGCCACTGGACGGGGTCAAATGCCTTTGACGGGATCTCAGTCTGTGCTGCGTCCTTGTGGGGCAGGCCACCCGGGGACCGCCCGTCCCCTCGTTCCAGCGGCTGGGGGTCTGCTCGTTCTCCGGGCACACGTACACATCAGAGCCTCTCGTTCCGCCCGCGCTGCACCACCGCGCTTGCCACAGTTCTCCTCCATAATCACAGTATTTGTTGTTCCTCGAGATAGAAGACTCATAAAAAATACCGGGCTTTGTTAGGGGCCATAAGAGATTTCCAGGAGCTCGGGGCCCTGACTTTGGGAAACATTGTAGTTATTTTACTCAGCAACGAATTCTCAAATCCATGGAGTTGTTCCTCTGTTTTTTAGGTAGCTGTTGAAGTTTGAATTTTGTTTTTTTAACCATTGCATACATACTCTGTTTACCACTGACCTGCTGGCTGCCTGCTCAGCTAACACGTAACTAGAGCGTGTGCTGTTAGAGGTTCCTTTTCTAATGCACTGATAAATGTTGTTTGCACAGAGATTTTGCTTATGTAGCAAGAGACAAAGACACAAGAATTTTGAAATGTCATGTGTTTCGATGTGACACACCAGCAAAAGCCATCGCCACAAGTCTCCACGAAATCTGTTCCAAGGTAAGGTGGGTCAGGACGCAGTGGTGCGTCTCTCTGTCTTTAACCATTAACAGGGTCTTGTACTTTTCAGGAGACTGTTCTATTAATCAGCAGTTCTGGCTGTTCTAGAGTTCATCCTTGCGTAGACCTGAAATCATCCTCTCTAGAACCTCCACATAGTTACATGAGATGTGTGATCTACAGCAACAGAGAAAGATTCCTCCATTTCTGTCTCTTTGCCTGGGCAGCCCTTTACCGTTTGAAGACATTTGAAGCTATTGGCTGTACCTGTACATTTGGGGGCGCTAGATAGCTGTCTGTCCAGTCTTCCTGCTCCTGTCTTCCTCCTTTCTCCAGAAGCCCTATCTCTTTTGGGTCCCAAGGTTACGAGGCTCCTACCCCTCTTCTTCTGCATACTCTAGTTGGGTCCCCCTGAATGAACACAGTGTCCCACGGGCAAGCCAGTGGAGAAAAGACCACGGGCCACTCTGTCCCTTGACCTTCAAGGAGTACAGTACGGGGGTGATTGATGTTTTTAGCAACCACATCACATGCCAGCTTGTGTTCAAATAGCTGTTGGCCAGATCCCCAGGGCGCTGTCATGGATGTCCTGTGGCCAGGCCTTTCCGCTCCCCAGACTGACTTAATCTGAGCATGGGACTTGGCCGTCACCTCTGCTGGATGTCACCTTTCTGGTTTGAGGCGGATGTCGAGTCCCGGCCTCGTTACAGTGCTCCCTCAGCTACCCTGCCCAGGCTGTAGCCCGGCGTCTGAGCAGCAGAAGCAAGGCAGGTGCCAGCCACGTTTCCTAAGGGATGGGTAGGAGCTGGGACCGGTCTGCTGCTCTTATCCCGGCGGCCACCCTCTGTCCCACTCCGGCGTCAACAGGCCTGTGCAGCATGCCCCTTCCTTGTCATTGCCTTCATTCAGTCACGCAGCTGATAGCTCGGAACGCCATTTACGTGCCAGGTACTGTTCTAAGAACACAGCAGAGACTAAAACGGGGGAAAACAGTCTTTGTCCTTGTGGAGCTTGTGTTCTCGTGGCAAGCCCCCAGAACACGGCCCAGCACAGAGGAAGTGCTCGGTAAAAGGTACTGCTGTTGTTGGTAGCGGCCCTCTGGCCCGCCGTCCCGGGCACAGACCGAGAGAGGGCTGGCGGGGAGCTCTGGGGCCGAAGCGACTTCTGTTCCACCTGGAATGCAAAGCTTGGGGCTGGGAATGACGATGTGAGTGACTTGTGGGGCCACTGAAGGGGGGCATTCTTTCAGTCCCTAAAGCACCAGCACTGAGTGAAGAGGAGCGAGAGGTGATGCTCGTGGCCCCTCGCAGCAGACCACCAATTTCGTAGACAGCTGACAGGTTTGGGAACAGTCCTGAGAGCAGCGAATATTTCCGAGCGCTGACGCTGAATCCTCAGAACTGACATAACATTATCACTGGGGACATCAATACTAGGATTCCCAGGTGGGAAGAGGAAATGAGGCACGAGAGGTCAGTCAGGTGACTGGCCCAAGGTCACACAGCTAGTAAGTAGCGAAGGTGGGATTTGAACCTACAAACACTATCCCCAGAGCCCTGAAGAGTGCTCAGCATTCAGGAGCAATGGGAAAAGTCCGTAGCTGTGGGCAACGGTGGGCCAACAGAGGGTATCTGTTTGGGTTGTTTCACTAGAGGCGGGAGCCTGCTGAATGGGGGAATCATTTCCGAGCAATCGGGAGACTGCGACTCGGAGGGATAGTCCCTTGCCTGTTACCCCTGGGGAAAAGGAGCATGGTTCTCAAAACAGCTCAGCAGTACAGGGGTGGGAAGTCAGGCCGTAGACTAAAGCCTGTTTGACTCGGAAGCCGGGTCAGCTCAGACCCTCTCCTGGCAGGAATAGCTGAAGACATGGGGTCTGTAGCCACGGACCACAGGTGTGTTTTGTCTTCTTCAGATTATGGCCGAACGGAAGAATGCCAAAGCCCTGGCCTGCAGCTCCTTACAGGAAAGAGCCAATGTGAACCTCGACGTGCCCTTGCAAGGTAGGTCGGCGGCGGCCACTCTCCTCATGCTGGCGCCGTCCCCCTGTCTGTCCTAGTCAGAGCCAGAGGCCCTTCCCTGCGTCTTGAGAAACCATGCTCAAGCCAACGGATGCTCGCTGAGCAAGCACCCGGGGTCCTCCTGGGCACAGAGTTAACTTTGTGTCAATAGGATGAGGCACAGAAGGCCAGGATGAGTTTTCTTGTTACTGGACAAGATGAAAGAATATTATCTTTAGTGGTTTTATAACTCAGGTACAGCGTGGGGTAAGAACCAGCTAGTTTAAAAATATGTGGGTTGATGTGGGGAAAAAAATGTTTTTCTTAAGTATAATGATGAACGTTAAGCAGACTTACTGTGGTGATTGTTTTTGCAGTATATACAAGTATCAAGTCACCGTGTTGTACACCTGAAACTAACATAATGCTCTCTGTCAGTTATGACAGTTATACCTCTGTCATAAAATAAAAACACAGATATTTGGGGGCATTCTGTGTAGTTCCTTCCCGTGCCTCTGTGCCCTGAGTGATTAAGTCTTCCCTGGGCATCAAGCACGCCTCACAAACAGGCCATCAGAAGCGGTTGTTCAGCGTGTGTCAGAAAGACGGGGGCGGCTCGAACGCACCCGTTGCCCTCGGTGCTCCCCCGCGCCTCCCCTGCCAGAAGGGCAGGCTGACCGGGATTTCGGCGGGCTGGGGGGACCCCCGCGTCTGCTGGGAGAGACGCTCTTCTCCCAGCATGGGAGCTGCCTCTTCCTCTGGAAGCGGGGCACCGTGGCACGGGGGAGGGGGGCCCTGGGCCATCCAGACCAGACGCAGAGCGGTGGCTGTGTTGACGTGTATGCTGGGACCACAGCGAAAGATCTGTTGCTTTTGTTCTCTGTAGTAGATTTTCCGACACCAAAGACTGAGCTGGTGCAGAGGTTCCACGTGTGGTACTTGGGCATGTTACCCGTCGACAAGCCAGTTGGTACGTGCAGCACTTACGTCCTTTCCCTGTGCGAGTGTTGGGGAGCCCGTGGGAGGAGCCCCCTCTGCCCGGAGGGTGGGGGCTGTTGTTCTGTCCCCTTTCCTGGTCTTGAATCAGGCCCCTGCCCTGTGAGCAGCCACAGCACGTAAACGGTCCTGATCAGAAGAGCAATAGGGGACAGGCTAAGCTGCTCGGTCATGTTGTCCACAGAACAGAGGGACTTGAACAAGGCAGACACATGGTTCTCATTCATGCAGCTGTCCCAAGACGCGTGATCCAGGGCTCTGGCAGGCTCTGCTCTTCTCAGAGGGAGCTTCCGTCTCTGGGGCCGGGGTACCTGCTCTGGTCCTTGTTGACCGCCGGGCAGGGGGAAGGGGCTGAGGGAGCCCTCGTGCTTTCCTTTCCAGGGGTGACTGAAAGCAGCACGGCCTGCAGTCAGCTCCATCCCCATCCCAGGGGTTAGAACTTACCAAGGTGACAGGAGGCTGGGAGATGGAGCCTTTCCCTGGGTAGAAAAGGCGGAGGAGAAATCAGAACCCTCATGCCCTGCTTGGGAGAAATGGTACAGCTGCTTGGGAAAAAAGTCCGGCAGGTCCAACACACGGTTCCCACTGGACTCAGCAGTTCTGCTCCTGGGCATATCCCCAAGCGAAATTAAATCATCCATCCACACAAACATTCGCAGCTACATTTATTCGTCAGAGTCAGAAAGTGGGAACAAATGTCCGTCAACTGACAAAACAGATTAATAAAATGTGATACTGCCAAAAAATAAAACTGTGATGCCGCCATACCGTGTAATTTTATTTGGTGGTAAAGAGGCATCAAGTACTGCTACAACATGGATCGGCCTAGAAGACAGGATGCCACACGAAAGCAGCCAGAAACAAAGAACCACATACTGTGTGGTTCCATGTGTACGAAACGTCAAGAAGAGACAGCCCTCTGGAGATAGAAATTGGATCAGTAATTGCCTAGGACCAGGGGGCTGGGAAGAACTAGGTGGTGACCCTGAAAGTGTACAGGGTTTGTTTTCGGGGGGATAAAAATGTTCTAAAAATGATTGTGGCGATGGTTGCACCACTCTGTGAATACACTACAAACTCTCACATGGTACACTTTAAATGAGTAAATTGTATGTGACTGATAGCTCAGTAGAGTCGCTCTCCCACCTCCCCCCCACACACTGCCGCAGAAAACAGCTGTGCCAACACCCAGCCAAGGGGCCCCCTTGAACAGTGCATTCTGCTCACGTACAAGGCCTTCCACACTTGGCCTCGTTTAAGTGGCAAAGTAAGGTGGAGGGAGATTGGGGTATTCTAGCAAGTGCTGGCTTCTGTTCCGTTCCTTTTCCCAAGGCTCCTTGCTTAGGGAAGGGTAACATTTGTTTAAGTGCTATGTCCTCAGGGCTAGGGACTCTTTGGAAAGAAAGTAGCACCGTGGTCCAGTTAGACTGGACATCACCCACTACACCTCTCCAGGGGTTCTCATGACCCTTCTTTGCTGTTGAAAAAGCTGGCATTTTTTTTTCTTTTAAGCAATGAAATGCTCAAAGTTCTTCTGGGGCTACAAAAAAAAAAAAGATCAGTTTGGGTGTAGCTGCTATTGGGTGATTTGGGCCCACGCTGGAGAGTGATAAATGGCTTTAGGACCTTGTTCAGCAATCTGTTCCATCCACAGGAATGGATACTCTGAACAATGCCATAGAAAATCTTATGACCTCATCCAACAAGGAGGATTGGCCGTCGGTGAACATGAATGTGGCCGATGCTACTGTGACCGTCATCAGTGAAAAGGTGAGCAGGATCGGACATGGGGTTGGTCTGTGTGGGTTATGGTGAAACTTTGGATACAGTAATCTCCCGTGAAACACAGACACGTAGCCAAGGCTTGACCTCTGGAGGGTGGGGTGCAGGGGGAGGGGTGGTTATGCTTAATTGTGAGTAAAAGGCCTGCATTTAAAAAAAAAACAAACAAAAAAAAAACTTTTTTTTCTGCCTTTGTGTCTGGATCTCTGCATCACTGTGCTTTTCTTTGAACTAAGAAGCTTCTCTTCTGGTGCTCCCAATTCTTTCTTCCTCTTGTGCCCCAGAGATGGAAATCATTTGCTAGAGGTGCCTGTACGACGCCGGCAGTCAGTCCTTGCAGGGTTTGGTTTTCTGGGCTACTCTCCAGGCTTCAGTGGGAACCGGGCTGTTTGTCTGGAGTTGGGGTACAGGAGCTGCTTCGGTTGTGGGAGGTCCTGGGGTTTGTTCTGTCAGGAGTAGCAGGGGCTAGTGGTCATTGACAGAGGCCAGCTTTAGCCTCAGACCAGATTATCCCAGTTTTATGGTTGAGGAAACTGAGGCACAAGGAGATCGAATAAGTGCCTCACAACAGCTAGAAGCAGCAAGCTCAGGATTCAGTCCAGCAGTCTGCTCCAGACTCCTGACCACTTTTCAATTCTCCCTCTGTGAGGCATCTGTCACGGAAAGACCCCCAAGGCGTTGGCCTGCTCTTGATTCTGTCCACTGGGAGGTCACCTTCGAGCCCAGTGCACCTTCGCAGAAGGAGTTAGGAGTCAGATGCTCACTGACCCTGCCCCTCAGCCTGCCAAGTTGGATCGTCTTAAGTCTTTAAACGTGTCACGCCCTTTTCTCCCTCAGCATCTGCAAGTGCTGCCCCCTCTGTGCCCCGCCCCCTGCCCGACCCTTACCTGGATCTCAGCCTAAACTTCCTAAGCATCGTTTCTCCCAAGAAAACTTCATGGCGCCTCAGGCTCCTTTCATTTGCTATAAAAGAATTCTGTAGCACCTGAGTGAATATTTAGTAAGTCAAGAGTTAATGATCCAAAAGTCAACATTCTGGATGTGTTTACTAATTCAAAAATTGCATATGGTTACTGCAGAGGATGTGGTGTTCATAAGAATGAATTCCGAACGTTTCTTTACCCTGCATCATATGGATACCATATGGACACCAGTTTGGGGAGGGGGGGAGTGCTTTGGCAGCTTTTCTACACGGTTTTAGATAGAAATACGATTCAGTGTACTATTAGCATGGGAAGGAGAACCGGATGGAAAGAGATGCCGTGGCTCCTTTTCTCTTGGTGCCCCGAGGTTTCCAGCGGGTTCGCCTGGCCGAACGGGTTTTGAGCCGCCGGGTGCCCTGTCTGAGCAAAGCCTACCGAGTTTGCGTGGCCCCGCTGCTGCCCACCGTGGACGCCCAGGCCCGCAGTGTGGTAGCCAGAGAACAGAACACACGCAACCGCGGTGACGTTCCAAGCGGACTAAATGTCGATGAGACACCCGCATAGCAGGGATGGCCTCCCCAGACACATTTAGAAACTCGCCTTTCTAGAAAAATACGAGTGCTTGCTAAATCCAGGCGAGCTATATATTTTTAATGCCGGTGTCTCTCTGCTCCGCTCCGGGCTTGATTCTGCGGTTTAAGAAATGAGCCCGTTTAGTAGGACTGCTGCCTGGCTTCACAGAGAGTGGGCTGCTCAACAGCGTGTCTTGCAGAATGAAGAGGAAGTCTTGGTGGAGTGCCGCGTGCGATTCCTGTCCTTCATGGGCGTCGGGAAGGATGTCCATACGTTTGCCTTCATCATGGACACCGGGAACCAACGCTTCGAGTGCCATGTTTTCTGGTGTGAGCCTAACGCGGGTAACGTGTCGGAGGCTGTGCAGGCCGCCTGCATGGTGAGTGGTCCCTCCGGGGCGCTGCCACAGCTCTGCACCTCTGCTCTTGTGCTGCGTGCAGGAAATCAGTGCAGAGCTCCTCGTTTAAAGGAAAATAGGTCTCTTCTCTAAAGGGACACTCTGCTGGGTCGCGCCCTCAGTCCTGCGGACACGATCCATCATGGCGAGCAGTTGGCCATCTCAGCAGCCAAGGGCGCCGACAGGAAGCCAGGCCGATGGAGCCATATTCTGTAGGGACTCTGGTACCCCTGAAAGCAGGGATCATCAAATCTACAGACTGGAGGAGTCTTAATTCTTGATCCCTGATTAACTTCAGTATACGGTCAGAAAACGTTGGGCATGTAGGAGTTGGTGCTGTTTAGAACCAGCTTAGGACTTAAAAAAATGCAGGGTGTTGAATGATTTTTATTTCAGATAGTTGGTTTCAGCACGTCAGTCTTGTATATTTAATTTGTATCTGTGAACTTGGTCCTTACAATGACCGTTCGTAGGGTGGTTGTTAGTTCTGTTTTATTTATGAGGAAACAGAGGCTCAGAGGAAAGGTGATAAGAGACAAAGTCTGTGTTCAACCCCGAGTTTTTCAGGTGACACAGCCGCGCTCTTTGTACCACGTATAGGATTTCAAACAAACAAAAATACCTCATCCTTCATTCTGCAAATATCCTTTGAGCACCTATGACGCTGGGCACTGAAAAAGTTCTGTTTTTTTTTTTTAAGATTTTATTTATTTATTTGACAGAGAGAGACACAGCGAGAGAGGGAACACAAGCAGGGGGAGTGGGAGAGGGAGAAGCAGCCTCCCCGCTGAGCAGGGAGCCCGATGTGGGGCTCGATCCCAGGACCCTGGGATCATGACCTGAGCCGAAGGCAGATGCTTAACGACTGAGCCACTTAGGCGCCCCAAAAAAGTTCTAGAAAAACTGAGGGAACAGTATGAATGTAGGCATCAAGACCTGGGGTGGGTGGTAATTCTTCGCAGCAGCAGGTTGGGTAGCTGGAACTGAGTAAAGGAGGTGAGGTCATGCCAGCGTGTTTATCTTCAGCAAACATTGTTAAGCAGGAGCGATGAATTGATACTGGGTTTTAAAAGCATACTCCCCCAAAAAGAGAAACTAAAGGAGGGGATGGGTTGAAAGGACAATGACCAGGAAGCCACCGGTCCACATGAGGGTTCCGGAGGGTCTAAACCAGGAGTGTGGCAGTGGAGTAAGCAGGAGCAGATGACTTGGAACGTGGTAGAGAATCGCCTGGCTGGGGATGAGCAATACTGAATTTGAAGCACCGGTTCTTCATTTAATTCAACCCACCGTTTATGGGCTGGACTCTGGAGAGTTTGAGTAAGATCCAATCCTTGCATTACAGAGCTTAGCTACAGGGGGAGACACGTGAGCCGGTTGTGGTGTAAAAGGTGCTGTAAGGAAAAGTGTAAGACCACACTGGACTGAGAAGTGGCCAGGAGGAAAAAGACAGAGACCCTGAAAGTCGACCAAGGTCTGACAGGGAAGGCGTAGTTCAAAGCACAACAGTAAGGGAGTTTGCTTCTTGTTTTATGGTGGGGGGGTGGGCCTCACACATTTTTTAGACTGAGGGAAATGAGCTAGCAAAGCTGGATTGAAATGGGGGTCATAGGGGCGCCTGGGTGGCTTAAGCGTCTGCCTTCAGCTCAGGTCATGATCCCAGGGTCCTGCGATCGGGCCCGCGTCGGGCTCCCTGCTCAGCGGGGGGGTCTGCTTCTCCCTCTCTCAAATAAATAAAATCTTTTTTTAAAAAATGAAAAGAAATGGGGGTCACATATACAGTTGGGGCAAGGTCTTGGTGGTAGATTAAGAGCCTAGGGCTGGGGTTTAGCCTCCTCACTGGGTCACGGTGACTTCGAGGCTAGCCAGATGCTAGGGGTCCAAGAGAAGCAGGTGGTGGTGACGGAGGTGGCGTGAGTTCCCTGTTGTTCACGTGTGGTGGACACGCAGTTGCCGGGTGAAGAATGAAGCAGAGGATGAAGTGGGCTCTAGATGGCAAAGGCGAGGCGGGAGGAAGGGAGCCCGCTGACTTAAAGGGCACCTTTGAATGGAGAGGGGAGGAGGGAGGAGCGAAGGCAAGAGCCGGTGCCGAGTGCTCATGGGCTGGCGTCCTTCTGCCCACAGGCCTTTGTCAAGTGCCCTGGAGCCGGGAGGCTAGTAATAGTAACTCAGATCTGCCCGCAAGAGAAGGGACAGGACTGGGGCGGGGGGTCCAGGTGAACCCCCGAACCCAGCACGGGAGACTGAGATGGGATGAAGACAGTGAAAGCATCCAGTCAAGCAAAAATGGAGGATGACTATTTAGGTATTTCATGAAATTGAAAAAGAATCGTAACAGATGGTTTTAGTCGTAAAATGAATGGCTTTCAGCCTTAATTGTACATTTTAAATGCTGGTGACAATTAAATAATTAGCTTTATCACTGGTTACAGTTTGTTTTCTGATTCCCAGACTCATTTTCTCTCTAAGAAACAATTTTTACTCACTTGCTTACGATTTTTTTTTAAAGATTTTTTATTTATTTATTTGAGAGAGAGAATGAGAGAGAGCACATGAGAGGGGGGAGGGTCAGAGGGAGAAGCTGACTCCCCGCTGAGCAGGGAGCCCGATGCAGGACTCGATCCCGGGACTCCAGGATCATGACCTGAGCCGAAGGCAGTCGCTTAACCAGCTGAGCCACCCAGGCGCCCCTCACTTGCTTACAATTTTAATTGTAATAGGGCAGCCGGCTGAAGCGGCTTGGCCAATCCAGTATGAAGGCGCACTGATAACATCCCACTCTACACTCGGATCCCAGCATTTCTGACTCAGTGGCTTTCCTCTTGAGTCCGATCTGCATGAACCTCTGTCTGAACTATCTGCGCATGAATTTATACCATCTGAAATACCTGTGGTGTTGACACACTCTTTTGAATCTTCTTAATTTTTAGGCATCTTTTGCAGTTGTGTGGTATGGGCCCAGCTGTGGATATTTTGGTGAAATTTAGGAGAGAGGGAGCCTTCATGAAATTCATCAGGTGCAATTTTGACTCACACTGGACACACCTCCCAGGAGAGATTCCTAGTCCAGTGCACCATGATGTGACACCTGCCCATTTACAAATCTGTGCTTTGGAAGTGTGTGGTTTGGGTTGTGATGCAGACCTAGCAAGGTACCTTGCAGAGAGGAAACGAGAAATCCTTTCTTGGATGACTGGGTCGAAAGGGGCTAGTTCTGTAATCTCTGGGCTTTGTGACTCAAGAGTCCTTCCTGTAGTTTATGCTTCCCGTGGGGAAGCATCAGCCTGTTTCACACTGTACTAAAGAACCTATTGATAGTTAAGTAGAGTTTTAAAAAATCAGCTATGGAATTAATTATTTTAAAGTGCTTGGATTAGGAAAAAACGTATTTGGTAAATTTTAACCTTCGTATCTAATTTTGAAGAATTACTTATCTTTTCATTAATATAAAAGCGGGTGGATTGTGTTACATTTCTGAAGGAGAGAAACTGTGGTGCCAACAGTGCTAATGGACATTTTAAAACCCATTAGGATTTAGGGGCTTCTGGCTGGCTCGGTCGGCAGAGCGTGCAACTCTTGATCTTGGGGTCGTGAATTTGAGATTACTTAAAATTTTTAAATCCACTAGGATTTGGACTTGCAGATAAAATGTATCCTGAAATCTGTACACATCCTTCTGTTTTATTAAAGCAGGAAACAGGAAAAGGAACGAACATTTCTGAACGCCTTCAGTGTTGCTAGGCCAGTTTTCGGCATTCTGCAAGGATTCCTTAATCGTAACGCCCTCTGTAAAGGTCCCAGCTTTGTGCCATTTTACATGGTAGCAACTGAGGCTGAGAGATGGAGTACCTTGCTTGGGTCATACAGTTCATGGTCATACAGTGATAGAGCCTAGATTCAGACTGTGCCCTTTTTTTTTTTTTTTTTAAAGATTTTATTTATTTATTTGACAGAGAGAGACACAGCGAGAGAGGGAACACAAGCAGGGTGAGTGCTCCTGCTGAGCAGGGAGCCTGATGTGGGGCTCGATCCCAGGACCCTGGGATCATGACCTGAGCCAAAGGCAGACGCTTAACGACCGAGCCACCCAGGCGCCCCCAGACTGTGCCCTTTCTACCGTGTTGTCTCCCAGTTAGCCATGAGCGCTCAGCTCATGTACAGAGTTGTACCTGTTTCCCACAAAACTCGAGGATTGTCTCTCCCGATCCTTGTCCTTTTCATTAGCTCTTTGACTCTTGGGTATATTAATTACAGCCTGTCCATACAGAGAACAAGTGGAGGGTGGAGAAGGGTGCCAAAAGCCACCACACCTTTGTTGAGCCGAATGATCTTTTTTTTCCCTGAGATCGAGACCTGAGCTGAGATCAGGAGTCAGATGCTTAACTGACTGAGCCACCCACGTGCCGCAAGCCTAATGATCTTTTAAGAACATTTCAAATACCCACATTAAGAAATAAACTCTTGGGTTTATGTATAGGAGCTAGGTCATTACATTTTGGAAGTAAATGTATTGGTGAATTAAAATGAAATTAAACAAGAAGGGATGACACGTCATTAACGACCATAAAACACTTTTGTTTCATTTCAGTTACGATACCAGAAGTGCTTGGTAGCCAGGCCGCCTTCCCAGAAAGTTCGACCACCTCCTCCGCCAGCAGACTCAGTGACCAGACGGGTCACAACCAATGTAAAACGGGGGGTCTTATCCCTCATTGACACTTTGAAACAGAAACGCCCTGTCACAGAGACACCATAGCTGCGTATGTTAAAGGATTCCAGACTACGTCCCTGAAGATTGAATAGCTACACTAAAGAAGATGAACTGATACCTGGCCTTCCATTCAGTTGCTGAAGCTTTGTCTTCAGAGAATTAATCCTTAACCAAACAGTGTTAGACAAGCATGTTCTCTCGTCTTGCCACCATCCTGTGATATGAAAAGAAGCATGACTAATTTTTTTTGCTATCAGTCAGATACATCCTGAGCAGTGGAAGGTCTTTTTCTTAATGTAAATATGGTGACCATTACTTGACTTCACACACACGGAGAAGAATGTGGCCACAGCCCTCCTCGTGAACTAAAGCTGAGTCCTTGGGGTGAACGACGCCGGAGTTAGTTTCATTGTCTCCTGGACTGGATCTGTCACAAGCACTTGGCCCCGTGTCCAGCCTTGGAGTAGCCACCGCGTGCCAGATACCATTGAATTGCTGTAAAAATAGGATGAGGAGTTTTTGTTTCAGTGTTTCACGAAATCAGACCCTTTGCTTGACAACACCGGCTGTCGGCATCAGTACAGAAACCAGCTGGCGGCTTTCCTTGACGAGCTCTTGGACGCACGGACACCATTTCAGGTCTACAGCTGCTTATGGGATGTTGGGGGGGAAAGTGAAACTTCAGAATTGAAAAGCATACCAAATTTGAGCAATTAAAATCGGGCAAAAAAATAGCCTTTCTAGATGGCTTTCAAACCGATTATTTAAAAAAAAAAAAAGGAAAAAGAAAAATGAAAGAAAATCAGAACGCATTTCGGGTGGGACGTATTTCAAACTACTGCCTTATATTGTACAATGCAGCTAGAGAATTATAGTTCACTATGGCCATTCTCTACACAAACAACATTAAAATGAAATATTTCTCCTACGCCTTTCATCCTTAGTTCGATAATTAGCCAATATGCAATTTGGAGTTGAGGAAATGTCATTTATATTTTGGGTCTCCACCACCACATTATCATGTTGGTCTTCCTAGTGAAACGTTCTGCTGGGATTCCGTATCCAGCTCAGTCTTACCCTCATGCTTTTTGCCCAGAAAGCTGTCTGTCCATCATGTATTGTCCATGGCAACAAATTACATTAAATCGAACCTTTTGAAGTTATGTATTTAATATTAGAATATGTTGGACTTTACTAGATATATTTTTAAATTTCTATTTTTTTCAAGATTTAAATATTTCATATCAGAGCAAAATATACATAGCAACACTGGACTGCTTAACAAGTTTCCCAAAAATAGCATTTTCCTGCTTCTCTTTTCTCACCTATGAAGATACACAGATTTAGACTCTTGTTGACATTATCTTAAAAGGAAGTTGCTAAGGAGACCAGTCTAAATATTAGTCTTATTTACTTTTTGATGTCAAAATTAACATTTTAAGACATCCAGTTACAAAAAGTAACACTTGGTTTATCTACTGCGATGTACTTGTTAAAACGGCTTCCACATTCAAATGGGGTAACCATTTGAGCCTTACGAGGTAGAGAAAGGTACTAAACACATTTGAGAAACGAAAATATGTATAAAGTACCAAGAGGCTCAATCATGTAGCCTAAGATCTCTCAGAAGTTTGCAAGAGAACCAGGACGAGAACCCACGCTTCCCAGCTCTGTTGTAAGTCATGCTACTTCCACATCAGTGAGGAAGGGTCTCTCCACAGTTACTCTGGGCATATCCAGTTACTGTCAGGAAATCTTAGAATTCCCTGTAGAAGGAGGGGAATACATCCAAGTCCCTCACACAGCAGTCTTAATCATAAAACCATTGCCCTCTCTCAGTCCAGGCCTCTTTCCCTGCAGTGTGCCTCAAACGTGTTGTAGAGGACAGGATTTTACATGCCGTGCAGCCTGTTCAACTTCCGAGATTTTCCAGAGGTGGTGGTACTGGTGGTAGAGATAGTCCGAACTCATGGTACTTAGCCACCAGAGAACATAATGGAGTAGGTGGCCTCCTGACTCTGTTCCCTCAGAATTCTGGAACTGTTTGCTAGCACTCTAGTGTTACGACAAAAAAGATGCCACCCTAGAAATGAATCCTACTTCTCACCAGCCTGTATACTGTTCTACCTGAAATAACCAGTGCCATCATCAAAAATTATTGCGTTAGGAAAATCCTTAGTTTGCCCTTCGAAAAGCTGTTCAAAATTCAATCACAATGATCTTTCATCTCGATCTCCACAGTGAAAGGTTTTAGTGTGATAAAAATTCTGAATAAGTCACCCACTTTTATATTGGAAATCTCTACCAGAACCCACTGTTGAATTTTTAAGGCATACCTTTGTTTGTTTTCAGGATCAAGAATACTGAGCTAGCTTTAAGTAGCAAACTGATTGATATATGCAATTATAGGATATGTTAAGATGAATGATAGCCTTTACATACTGAAAACTTTACTGCAGATATTGTTTTGAAAACAGCTTTGCGTCCTAAATGCAATTAATTTTTTGTAAGATTCGTTACGTTAAACAGAGCGTTCGGACACTTTCTGCCATGGCCAAAAAGTATGTGTGATGGTGTGTGTGCATTTCTCTGGGAGAGGGCGCCGTGTCTCACCCGACGCTGTGGTCACACTCGGGTTATCTATGCATCTTCTTTAGACCCGCGACGCGGTGAACGGGCGGCCGTGTCCGCTATGCCTCGTTCGTCTTACCATTGTTTTAATTAACCTGTTAAATACGGCTTGAAATATTTTTATTTTATTTATTCTATTTTTACTTAAATAGACTGCATTATTGTGTTAATGTATTATCTTTACTGGATAGTATCTCACAGTGTATCCAGGCCTAAGCAATCTCAGTGAACTATACGTCGCCTAAAAGGTGGTTTTGTAATGATTTGTAGTCACATTTTTATTGGAATATGTAGAAGAAATGGCAAAATGCTCAAAGGTCCTTTTATTTTTTAAAAGCAGCTAGACAGACGCAGACTTGCCACCTCATCTGTGTGCTCCTTGGCAGCATCAAGGGGAACAGCCACCAGGCCTCTGGCAAAAACTTTACTTTGCAAACCAAAAGCACTGCTTGGTGCTTTGTTTTTATATCCTTCACAGCACATGTGATCTCCCCTCAAAGACACATGTCCACAAGCCCTTTGTTTCCACCTGGATATAAGATCACCCATAGCTACTTAGGACCATTGTTTTCTGTTTGTGTCTGTCTGGTTGCATGAAGGGACATTAGACCCATTTCCATTAAAGTAAGTTCTTTGTGATAAACTGTTGGCACTGCTACTTTTTTAAAAATCCAGTCTGATCTTATGATGGAGATTTGTAAGACCATTCTACACAAGGTCACTTACTAGAAAACCCGAAATCTTTCCTCCTTTTCTTGTATGACACACTCATTTCATAAGCATCGCAACACAAATTGAAGATTTCACAAGCAACGTGAAAAACCTATCCCTAACTAACTGATGCTAGCACAATTTAACTAGTAAAACCATTAGCTCTCTAGTTTGCCAGGCTTCCTTAACCTAATACACAGCTGACATGTGTGATACACAGCCAGGAAAATGAAGTTTAATTTATTTCAGCTTCAGAGAAAAGATTCGGCTCACACTTTATCAGTGAGAGCACTCCCTGCCATCCAAAGCAGCTTGTTTATCCTGAAAGAACGTTTGCTTTTGCTTTCTGCCCCGTTTGCTGTTGACCACTTTTACACATTTTAATGTAATATGTTGTGAGAATAAACTTAGCTGCATAAAATGTCTGGCTCATTTATCTGACATCTCAATCCTATAGACCCAGGAATGGAAATGCAAGGGTAGTGTCTCCATGCTAGTCATTTTATTTTCAAACGATTCTTACCTCAAATTAAAGATCATTTTGGTAATGAAAGATTCTGCTTGGATTGTTATTGCAGATTTCCACCTGGTAAGAACTAGAAAGTAACTTGAAATTTTGAGTAATTTATCACACTGCCCTTACTTGTTGATCAGGAACGACAGCCGGCGGCCTTAGTCACCAACTAGAGACTTCTGGAAGCAGTCTTCCTCGTATCAAGGTAGTCTAGCTTTCATTCTTGTTAAGAACCTGACGTCAAAGAGCGTAGGGTAGGGGCGCCTGGGTGGCTCAGTCGGTTAAGCATCTGCCTTCGGCTCAGATCCTGATCCCAAGATCCTGGGATCAAGTCCCGCATCGGGCTCCCTGCTCAGCAGGAGGCCTGCTTCCCCCTCTGCCGCTGCCCCTCCCCCAGCTTGTGCTCTCTCTCTCTCTCTCTCTCTCTGTCAAATAAATAAATAAAATCTTAAAAAAAAAAAAAGCCGTACTGGCATTAAATCCAAAATCAAAGGTAACCAGAAAAGCAGTTAGATCTGGGCTAGGGCTAGTTTAACTGTCAGACATATGAGATAAGTGGAATTTAGAGTATGTACCTTTTTTTTTTTTTTTTGGTTCATCTTGAATCACCACCCCCCTCCAGTGTCTTCTTAACTCTATTCAAAGGCCGTTACTCTGAAGGAACAAAATTTCATTTTGGTTTCAGGTATTATATTAGTGGTAAGTAATTTCAGATAAAATTTACTATTGGAGAATCTACCAGTAAATTCATTATTTTAGATTTTTGCAGCACTTTTCTCTAAGAAGCTCAAGAACGGAAAATGTGAGTGTAATCAATATTCTCCTTCACTAGAATTCTCATGTTTTTATCCAAAGTCTTTTTTCTTTTTTACTCTACAAAGTACTTAAATAATTGATCATGTCCTTAGAAGACTGTCAGAGAAGAACACTACAGGCTTAATGAATCATTCAGAATCTCCATATATTTCTAAAGAGAAAAATAGTGACAAGATGCGTACTATGAGATACTGAAAATAAGGGGCTTAAGTTGTGATACGACATGAATCACAAGCTTACCAGAAAAATATCCTGAACTATTCCTCTACAATGAGAGTTTTTATAACATCACAGAGAATAAATAGACCTGCTACTTTTGGACAATGGAATACTTTTCAGCCTGGGGCAGGGGAAGAGGGCAGGAGGAATTAGCGATTCCAGGGATAAAATACCAGCTCTTTACCCAACAAAGTTCAATTCAGCTGCACCAGCTAGCCCTCTAGAGGCCTGGAGCGCCCAGAGCCAGACAATAGGGAGTATGAGGAAAGACCTAATTTTTGAAACAAAGAGGTCTATCGTTTTTGATTTTTGAAATCAGTAAATTAAGTTCTGCATGGAGCCACTGGGTGTTATGCACAAACAATCATGGAACACTACATCAAAAACTAATGATGTATGGTGATTAACATAACAATAAAAAAATTTAAAGAGAAATCAGTAAATTAAGTTGGGCACTTAAAACATTTCTGTACTTTCTGAGAGTCATAATTGAGAATTCTCTGGGGATTTAAAATAGAAGTTCACGTATAAAAAGGCCTGTTTCCTTCGCTGACACATTCTGATAAATGTAGATTTTCAGCAAAAATACTTATTACTACTAAAATGAAATTCACCATTTTGTTTATCCTCACTTCAAGTGAGAAAATAATGACTAGAATGTTAGAGCTAAAATAGACCTAAAAATTCATCCTGAAGAGGATAATATTCTACTGAAATCATGCCACCTGAATTAAACATTTAGGAATTTACATAACACTGTTCAACACAACTGGATTCTGAAAATAGAACTTTATATTCAAACTTTGTGTCTTTGAACATTTTTTAAACAATAGGTCTCATAGTTGTAACTCATTTGATTTAATGTCAAACAATTTCTGTTTCCATGATGAAAAAAGAATCAATAGACCCAGAAATGATAATCATACCAATACTTGGTAGGCAATTGATAATACATCCAAGATGAATTGACTTTTAATATAATTAACATAGTGCTACAATATATTTTAATTGTGCATCAGAAATGATTCCCCAAAGTGTGATTACCGTGTGCCATTCGGAATGACTTGCAGATTTTACCATTTCCCCTGATCTTGGAACAGAATCAGACATTTTTATGGATTTCTTCAATAATTGGTGTCACTTGCATTCAGCAGGTTTGCCTCTTCCTCAGAGTTAGTACTATTTAGATGGCAATCTGTGTACACTTTTTTACAGCTGTATTTGGCCCGGTCAGCAGGGATAGTGGACTGTGTTCCATCTGCTCAGGATCCTGGAAGCTTTTCCCATGAGAAACTGTTTCCGCTCTGGTACTAACGTGCAGCTGAACTACCCACACCTGGAACTTCGGAACCTTCTGTTCTTTCTACTCGGACTCAATCTCAATCACATTACAAAAACTCATGCCATCCCATGTTTAAAGAATATTTTGATTTTTTAAGAAAAAAAAATTGACCTCCATAGTGATTGAAAATGTCAAACCACAAGTGAATAGATCCGGAAAAGCAAGCTCAAGTCGGTGTGAGAGGCCAGCAGCTTTTCCCTGTCTGTGCTTTCTCATAAACCGCCTCAAGTCTGTTACAAGGCAGACAGTGTTTCCCTTCAGGAAGAATTATTGCAGCTTCCTCTTAAAACAGTGTCCTGAGTCCTGACTGGAAGTTAGCAGGAGGGAGGCAAGTTCTAACAGCTGATGCTGAGTCTACAGCTGGACATTCTAGAACAGATCAGCACTGAGCTGGTGCAGTGCAGGACTCCGGCCTTGTTGAATCGCCTACATTATTGTTTCTCACTTGTCTTCATTCTCTTGAAGGTACTATCACATTTAGAAGATACTAAGTGACCAAAAGGGTGAGTATCTTGTGTAGGGTTATCTAACCTTCAGAGAGGTATCAGACTTTGACAGAAAGTCAACTGCCCCCGACGTCTGTAAAAAACCACAACACAGTCAAAGCCATGGTCGAGGACGTCTGAATGGGAAGGAAGGTAAGTTCTCTTTAGGCTTTTCCCCTCTTCTGATTATTGATGGTGAGGGAAAGTAACCGGTCTTGGGTCCAACCCAATGATAGTAAAAATGTTGAGTTGGTATCTGAGATTTGATCCCGTGGGGACTTGAAGATGGCAACATCACTGGAGGCAAAACAATCTCTATGGGTTTCAGTGCGATCACTCTGTCTTCTGGGCGAGGTCTTATGAAGTTTGTCTGCCGTTCATACAGTCTGGGGTGAGCTGTGTTCTTCATAAATGTAGGCACTAAGGGATTGGCGGCGGGCTTGCCGGGTTTTCTGACCTGCGAGGAAGAAGCTGCTGAAGTGGCTTTTTTCTGTGGCAGAGATGTTTTTGTTGTCAATGTCTCTGACCAATTAGCATTTGCATTCGTTTCTCGATTCAGGAACTCAGCGATTTTCGTTTGGATGCCATTATTGTCACTAGTGGGAGCTTTCAGCAATGATATCTTTGATTTTTTCTTCTTCTTCTCCCGCTTTGAAGGTTTACCCAACTCAATTCCATCCAGTAGACCCTTAGCGGCAGCACGGGCCAGAACGTCTCTCACAGACACTGTCTCAGATGGGTCCCGCTGCAATTAAAAGAAGCAGTTACTCAGTGTCGGAGTTAACTATTGCTGTGCATATTACAAATGTTCTCAGCTTCAGGAAAAACAAATGAATATCTTTATTACTATAAAAGAAATGGTTTTTAGGCCTTAGTCCCGAATATATCCCATAAACCTCAGCAAATCACTGTCTTTTTGTACTTAAACTTCCCCATTTGTAAATCTGATAGAAAAAAAAATTCTAGGCCTTATTTCTTCCATGTGAGCCACGATGAACTAGATGTTGGCCAAGTGCTTGGAAAGTGGGGGCGGAGAGCAGGCAAGGGAGGAACGCTCAGGAGGAATAGGAAGATAAAAATAGGGATTTGGGGGCGCCTGGGTGGCTCAGTCGGAAGAGTGAGCAACTCTTGATCTCAGGGTCTTGGGTTCGAGCTCTATGTTGGGTGTAGAGCTTACTAAAAAAAATAAGTACCCTTAAAAAAAAAATAGGGATTTTTGTGCCACACAGTAGTAACTCTTTCTCCTCTTTTAGCTATTTATTTTTTATTATGTTCAGTTAGCCAGCATATAGTACATCATTAGTTTTTGATGTAGTGTTCAATGATTCATTAGTTGCATATAACACCCAGTGCTCATCACAACACGTGCCCTCCTTAATACCCATCACCCGGTTACCCCATCCTGCTACCCCCCCAATCCCTTCTGTAACCCTGTTTGTTTCGCCAGAGTCCAGAGTCTCTCCTGGTTTGTCTCCCTCTCTGATTTCTTCCCATTCAGTTTTCCCTCCCTTCTCTTATGGTCCTCCGTGCTATTCCTTATGTTCCACATATGAGTGAAACCATACGATAATTGTCTTTCTCTGCTTGACTTATTTCACTTAGCACAATCCCTTCCAGTCCCATCCATGTCGATGCAAATGGTGGGTATTCATAAATAAGCACACCATTACAAAGTGTTCACAAAGTACCTAGGTTCCTCTTTATGAGGTTTGTTCTTTCTTAATTCCAAAGTATGACATGGATTGGAATTTTTCCCCCTTACCTCCCTTGTTAGAACAGAAAGAAAACAACCATTGGTAATTCCAGATGGTTCCATTCTGAAAAATTTATCAGTAGACAGATGTATTTCCTTTAAGGAGCACAGTGGAAGGACAGGAGGACTAAGCCTGCAATAGAAATGAGCAAACGGGAAATGGTTAGAATGGCTTGTCTGCCAATCGAGAGAGACAGTAAATTGCAACAATTTTTCTTCTATTATGTTTTCTAATCATTTAAACAAAAATTCCAAATAAGAATAAAATGCCAAAGTAGAACAATATTGTAAGTTAAAAGCTCTAATATTTCATGTTAGCTCATGCTAACATTTTTGCTTCCCAAGGTTTGCAACTTTAAGCAACTATGCCAAGAATATCAACCTTGCCACAAATTAAAAACTCTTTTCCAAGTCGCTAATATGTTAACAAAAAGACTGCTCTTATCAAAACAGGTAAATATGTATAGTAATCACAAAGATAAAACAGAAAAAATCCTTCTTTCACATGTTGTCAAAATACAAAAAGTAGGACTTCCTTCTTTTGATTACTTTTTGCACAATTACAATATAAAAATGGCCTATCATTTTAACTACATTATTCTTCCCAACTGCTTTTTGAGTATTAGTGAATGTGTTACACAGTGCTCAAGAAAGTGCACAACAAAGATTTTGTGCCACAAACATAAAAAGCTCTAATCACTATTATGTGGAAAATCACTTTTTGGTTTTTATATTTACTATTTAATTTCTCATTCAATAGTAAGTGGTTCATTCATAAATAATAAACAATTCTTACATGCCCATGCTTTTGCAATTAAAATATATCTAATAAAGGAATAAACATTTTTCCATATAAATTAAGGTGTCAGGAACTCTTGTTAATTATTTTGTATATTTTGAAATTTAACACCATTTTTTCCCAAGTTTTTATTTAAATTCCAATTAGTTAACAGTGTAATACTAGTTTCAGGTGTAGAATTTAGTGATTTGAAACCATTTTAAATGTATATTTATTCATTCACTATTTGCCTACTATGTGCAAGGCACATAAATATTAATTCTTTTGAATAGTTTACAATTTAGTTGGAGAAACTTTATAATAATATAAAGAAGACCCAGTAAGAATGCTGAGCCAAGTAGAGACAAAATCATGTAGGAATAAGGTACAATTAACTCTGGCCATGGGATAGCAGATCTGAAGACTCCACAGAAGAAGAACCACTGGTGCTGTGTCTTGAAGAATGAGTAAGTTTCCAGTAACATAAAGTATTTCTAGGCAGAAAGAAGAACATGAACAAAAGCACAAGTGTGTCATAAAAAGGTAAGTTCATACCCTACGATCCAGCAATTGCAGTACTAGATATTTACCCAAAGGATACAAAAATACAGATTCAAAGGGATACATGCACCCTGATACTTATATAGCAGCATTATCAACAACAGCCAAACTATGGAGAGAACCCCATTGACTGATGAATGGATAAAGAAAATGTGGTATATTTACCCAATGTAATGTTACTCAGCCATCAAGAAGAATGAAATCTTGCCATTTGCAAGGACATGGATGGAACTAGAGAATATTGTGCTAAGTGAAATAAGTCAGAGAAAGACAAATACCATATGATCTCATTCACGTGGAATTTAAGAAAGAAAATAGATGAACATATGGGAAGGGGGAAAAGAAAAAAAGAAGAGGGAAACATTCCATAAGAGACTCTTAAAAATAGAGAACAAACTGAGGGTTGATGGAGGGAAAGGGGTGGTGGATGGGCTAGATGCACCCATCTAGCCCATGGGTATTAAGGAGGGCACTTGCTATGGTGGGCACTGGGTGTTGTATGTAAGTGATGAATTGCTGAATTGTACTCCAGAAACCAGTATTGCACTGTATGTTAGCTAGCTAAAATTTAAATTTTAGATAGTTATGTAATTTAATTTAATTTATTGAAATTTATTTTAAATTAATTTTTAAATTAAATTGAAAAAATAATAATAATTTAAAACTGTGTTCAGGGTACAGCAAGTGTTTCTATGTGGCTGGGACATAAGGTGAGTAAGAGGTGTAGAGGTCGCTTAGGATGCAGGCAGACCCATATGACCTCAAATGACATACCACAGAGTGGTGCCAATGGTGGTTCTTGATAAATGTTTATGTTGAACTAAGCTGAAATATAATAGCTGTGTAGGTTCTAAAGGCAACCTTATAATCAATAAATTGAATTTTGGAGGCCTAGTCATATATATGCTCTACACAAATAGAAATCATCAAAAAAAATTTATTCACATAAGGTAAAGAATACTCTTTGAAAATAACGATTTCTTACCAATTGGGAACATATTTAGTTCCAGAATGTAAATATGAAGGTTGGGGTTTTGTCAATTTTCATTTTTAATATATTCCTAGCGCCTAAAAGAGTGTCTGCTACATAATAAATATTCAGTAAGTGTTTAATACATATGATATATCTTAGCTATATATGCTGTCTTTTTAAATGGTAATAATAATCCTAATTAAGATTGGTCAAGTTACCTTATAGAAATTGTCCCCACATAACAAAGTTATTTCTAAACTCCAGCTTACAGGCCATTTCTTCAAATAATAAATTAATACCCAGTCTCACACATACCTTAGATGATCACATTTTGAATCTGTAGAGTTGATATTTAGATGAGATTTTGGATTTAGAATTGATTCTGGAATGGGTGAGGACCTGAGGATGTTGGGGTGAGTTGGATGTATTTCATGCATGAGACAGACTTCAATTTTAGGGAGCCACAGTGGACTGTTAGGGGTTGAATTATGTTCCCCCAAAATTCATGCCCACCCAAAACCCAGAATGTGACCTTATTTGTGAAATGGGGTCTTTGTTGATATAATTAGTTAAGATGAGATAATACTGGAGTAGAGTAGACCCTAAATTCAATATTGGTGTCCCTATAAGTAGGGCAGATACAGAGACACAAAGGGGAAGAGGGCCATGTGAAGATGGAGACAAAGGGTGACACTGCTACAAGTCAAGGACACCAAAGATTGCCAACAAACACAGAAGCTGGGAGGGGGCATAAAACAGTCTCCCTCAGAGGCTCCGGAAGCCAACCAGCCTGCCAACACCTTGACATTCGGACTTTTGGTCTCCCAAACTGTGAGAGAATAAATTTCTCTTGTTAAAGTCACCAGGTTTGGGATAATTTGTTGTGCAGCCCAGGAAAATGAGGCACCTGGGAAAAGGAATTTTGCAGATGTAATTAAGGTCTCAAATTAGTTAACCTCAAGCTATGCATATTATCAGGGTGGGCCCGACCTAATCACAGGAACCCTTTAAATCCAGGTCTACAGGAGTTCTTGGAAGATGGCAGCAGAGTAGGAGGATCCTAGGCTCACCATGTCCCACAGATACAACTTAATAACTATCAAATCATCCTAAATACCCCAGAAATTGATCTGAAGACTGGCAGAACAAACTCCACAACCCAACGTAGAGAAGAGGCCACACTGAAGAATCTAGGAAGTGTATAGACTCAGCTTGGGGGAGAAATAGATTGTGGAGCTGCAGTGGGGAGGGAGCCACGGTCTCAGAGATGGGTGAGAGATACACTAGCACACAGGAGAACACACAGAAAAGACGAACCTCCATAGCAATGGACTTGGGAAGTGAGAGGTGAGTTTTGTGAGTTCTTTTAACCAACAGGACTTAAGGCCTGGAGTTTTAAAGGTCAGCATGCTTGGATCTGGGAGAGCTCGGAGGACATTGGGACTGCTTCGGGAGAGAGAGTAGGCAAACAGCCCACAGACACTCAGTGTGGAAATAGCAATCTGAAGAGTGCCTGGAACACAGAGTGGGGAGGTTATTTGTTCATCTTGGAGCATGTCCCAAAGAGGCAGCGTTCAATGGACAGAACCCTCCAGGAACAAAGGAGCTGGCTGGCATCATTTCCCTCCCCTGCCCCTCAGCATAAGCACAGGGCTAACACCACCTAACTTACTTACACCAAGCCCTGCCCCCTCACCCTCTGGAACAACTGCCCTTTCTAGTCACCCTTGCCTCAAGCTCAGTGTGTGCTTTCCCAAAAGACTGGCCCAGATCCCTGCCAACGCCATTATCTCCTGACCAGGGAGTTTTGGTGAGGCCTCGGTTCTGGTGACAGTAGAGACATGTCTCATTTCACAAGCAGATCACAGCACACCTAGTTAAAATGCACCACATTCAGGCCAGAGACCAAACACTGCCCACAACAGACAAAGAGAGCCTCTGCAGGTGACGGGCCTGAAGGATAAAGTAGCCAGGCCACAATAGCAGAGCACACACAGCACACACTGGAGACCCTCTGAGAAGTGTCAGGCCCTGGGGAACAGGGGACACTACACTGCAGAGCACTAAAGGACCTCTTCTTCATAAAGCCATTACCCTCAAGAACAGGAGACATAGCTGACTTTTCCTAACATGGAGACTTAGACAAAATGAGAAAACAGAGGAATTTGTTCCAAATGAAAGAACAGGACAAGGTCACAGCTAGAGATCTAAGTAAAACATATAAGTAACATACTGTTTAAAGCATATGATCATGCTTGAGAGGAGAGTTGGGGCCCCCAGTGCGGCCCAGGCATTTGTCAGCCACTGGCCTCAGATCTCTCTGAGGCAGTGGTCACGCTATGGTCCTGTTGGTGCCATGTCATTCTACAGCTTCTTTGGGGGCGAGTGAAGTTTTTGCATAAGAATAGACTTAGGGAACTCAGCGACTCCATCAAACGTAATAGCGTTCTTATTATAGGAATCCCAGAAGAGGAAGAGAGAGAAAAGGGGGCAGAAAATTGAAGAAGTAATAGCTAAAAACTTCACTCATCTGGGGAAGGAAACAGATACCCAGATCCAGGAGGCACAGAACCCCCAACAAAATCAACAAAAGCAGATCCACACCAAGGCATATTGTTTTTTAATTTTAAGTAGGCTCCACACACAATGTGGGGCTCAAGCTCACAACCCTGAGATCAAGAGTCTCATGCTTTACCAACAGAGCCAGCCAGGTGCCCCACCAAGACATTATAATTAAAATGGCAAAATATAGTGATAAAGAAAAAATATTAAAAGCAACAAGACAAAAGAAGACAGTTATGTACAAAGGAAACCCCATAAG